AGGTCATTGTGAGTTATTGGTTATTATTTACACTCTTTTATAATATTCATTTAGTGATTTTATAAAATAGAACATTTTTAATGATTCTGAGGGTCTTTTCAAGATTTGAATTTTGGAAATTTTGGAATTTTTAAGTTTTCAAATTATCAATTTTCCAAGGGTCCCAATTTCCCAATTCTTGAGTTCTTAAATTTCTGAATCTTCAAATTTCTAAATTCCCCAATTCCCAGATCCCCAAATTCCCACATTCCCCAATTTCCAAATTTCCAAATTCCCACGTTCACTAATTTTCAAGTCCCCGAATTCCCACATTCCCTAATTTTCAAATCCCCAAATTCCCACATTCCCCAATTTTCAAATCCCCAAATTCCCACATTCCCCAATTCCCAGATCCCCAAGTTCCCACATTCCCCAATTTCCAAATCCCCAAATTCCCACATTCCCCAATTCCCACATCCCCAAATTCCCACATTCCCCAATTTCCAAATCCCCAAATTCCCACATTCCCCAAATTCTCACATTCCCCAATTTCCAAATCCCCAAATCCCCACATTCCTCAATTCCCCAATTCCTAAATCCACAAATCCCCAAATTCCCACATTCCCCAATTCCCACATCCCCAAATTCTCACGTTCCCCAATTTCTAAATCCCCAAATTCCCACACTCCCCAATTTCCAAATCCCCAAATCTCCAAATCCTCAAATTGCTAACTTCCCAAATTTCAAAATCCCTAATTTACAAAATTCCAAAATCCCCAAATTCCCAAATCCCAATACTTCCAACTTTCCAAATGTCCATGAGTTAAATCGCGAACTGTTCTTCACGCAGAAATGAAGTCACTTCTTTAGATAACTGTACTCGTCACTTTTTTCCGCCGATTATTACTGGCTGTTTGAAAATAACTCGTTCGAGGAAATCGGGCTACTGAAAAGCGCTGTTCTCGTGAGATCGAATGAACTGAACGTAAATAAATCAATCGCTCAGCGAAGTATTCGAAATTTTCACACAAGTGATCAACTTTTTAATTTATTTTATAACAATACAAATCCAATACATTAGTACTAATTAATATATGTAATTGTTTCTGTGTCCACTCCGTTTGAATATCATTCACCCTTAATCATGAAAATAGTCTAGTAACGAAGTCGTTTGTTTCGTTCGAAGAAATCGGAGCTATAGAAAGGAAACAAATCTGAAGAGGAAAAGATAGAGGCAAATGACCATGAAATTGCATGATTATTCAAGATTACTTTGGACCTTTTGCGTAAATAATACGAAAATATTTGAAGACATCTATCGTTGCAAATTATAGAAACTTGCAAATCAATTGTGCACATCTTAAAATGTAAAGTAAAATTTGTAGTCCTTGTAAAGTACTATAATACAAAATAATAAATTTTGAACACCATAACAGGACAGTAATATTTAATTTCTTTTTGATAAAAAGTACAATGCGTTACAAACATTTGCGGCTTATTATAAACATACGTTATGAAGTAAATTGCAATTTTATTTATTTGAACATTTTGAATCTACAAGTTTCCCGCCAAATCTGTAGATACCTGAATAAATACATATAAGTGATAATACAATTTACGCATAATAAGAATTATTTTATAGCTGTCGATTTACATATTTAGGGCTGTAAAAAGTAACTGTACAAAATGAAGGTAAATAGTGCAGGAAATGTAAAAATAATACAATATAACGTAATGCAACAAGAACTGCGATACGGGCAACGTGATGTAACGACAAGAGATAACAGAGATAACAATAGTTAAATAAACCGACGATACTCGAATGCAATAGGCTGTACGTACGCAACTTATAGAACTGTCGATCTTTACTTATATTGCCAAGTATCTATAAACGATGCAATTGAAATTTTTCAAGCAATTGGAATAAATTTTTATGCTTATTTATTTATACGGCGATTTAAACAGCTGAAAATTTAACGTGTAGCGATACTATGCGTGGTAATGTAGCGCGGCAATTACAAGATATGGCGATATAGCGCGTGGTAATATAACGCGTGGAATTACTACGCGTGGCGATATAACATGTAGGGATACAACACGTGGTAATATTCCGAATGCTCGGCGATATAGCGCGTGGCAATATAATGCGTAGAATTAGCACGCGTAGCGATATAGCGCATGGCAATATAACGCGTGGAATTACCACGCGTGGCAAATATAATGCGTGGAATTACAACGCGTGACGATACAGCGCGTGGCATTTATAACGCGTGGAATTACAACGCGTGGCGATACAGTGCGTGGCAATTATAACGCGTGGAATTACAACGAGTGGAAATACAATGCGTGAAATTACAACGCGTGGCAATTATAGCGCGTGGAATTACAACGCGTGGCGATACAGTGCGTGGCAATTATAACGCGTGGAATTACAACGCGTGGCAATACAACGCGTGAAATTACAACGCGTGGCAATTATAGCGCGTGGAATTACAACGCGTGGCGATACAGTGCGTGGCAATTATAACGCGTGGAATTACAACGAGTGGAAATACAATGCGTGAAATTACAACGCGTGGCAATTATAGCGCGTGGAATTACAACGCGTGGCGATACAGTGCGTGGCAATTATAACGCGTGGAATTACAACGAGTGGAAATACAATGCGTGAAATTACAACGCGTGGCAATTATAGCGCGTGGAATTACAACGCGTGGCGATACAGTGCGTGGCAATTATAACGCGTGGAATTACAACGAGTGGAAATACAATGCGTGAAATTACAACGCGTGGCAATTATAACGCGTGGAATTACAACGCGTGGCAAATATAACGCGTGGAATTACAACACATGGCGATATAACGCGTGGAATTACAACGCGTGGAATTGCAACGCGTGGCGATATAGCGCGTGGAATTACAACACGCGGCGATATAGCGCGTGGAATTACAACGCGTGGCAAATATAACGCGTGGAATAACAACACATGGTAATAAAAAATTCTAAATAATCGAGTGCAGAATTTTATAATTGATCTATCACTCATGAATGAAGTTACGCAGTCACATTTTCAAGCTTTCGTCAACACTTTGCGTGAGCATAATTTCTTACAATGGATGGAGTCAGAGAGCAGAGATTTCATACAAGAAGGACGACTTACTATTTTCAAGCAACCAGAGTGTGTATTCTACACGCACCGGACATACGCACGCTGCTATTTATACATATAGCTCGTACCGGAACTGTGCTTTCCAGACGCGCATGTTTGGGCTGAGTCAGACCCGATACCAAACGGAAGATCAACTGTTCTATAACAATTATGTGTATCTGACCCAAATTACAGTTAGGATAATATGATACTGGAATTAGAACGCAAAAATGTTGAGAGAAGAATGTAAAATCTGAAAAAGAATTTAAGAGCGCAGACAACTTTTATGACAACAGTTGAAGTTATAGCAATTCATTCGAACGGTTTTGTATCTCGAGCAAATATCTCCGTTCGGGACGAGCCACGGAACGATCCGATGCTTTCTTCCGCTTCCGGCAGGCCATTTTATACGCGTCGATCGGGAAATAAAGATCGTCACTTCGGATAAATTCAATGAAGCCTTAAAGCCGGCTTCTCAACAGACTCCAAGTGGATCACGATAATTAAATTGTGAGTCTGGCTCAATTCCACGGAAATAAATCTGCAGCGGTGCATCGGTCACGCACCGCGCGAATTAAGAACTCTAAATCCGTGAGTGCTTCGCGAACTGTTCGTGGAAAAACTGTTCAGAATCGATAATCGATTGTGCAGTCTGGAACATGCTGTTACCGGGTTGTTGCATGTCAAAAGACAACAGTTGTGAAACTACTCTTTTCTACATTTCCAAAAATTTTATTATTTAAAACTTAATAACTTAGCAATTTAATAAATTAAGAAAAACTTATTTCTATTATAAATTTCATCACTCACATTAAACATTTAAACTCACAAATATATTTTTGAATCAATCGATTCTTAATAAAAAATTGAACAACACAATCACTGGATAAACTTCTTTTGAAAAATCACTATAAATTGATTGAAAGTTTTCTTCAACAAAAAAGAACCTAAACTAAATTGTACACTGTTACACTTTTCATAAAAGCCACTATAGGAAGTGACTAGAATGTAAACATAAATAATTGAACAATTTATTAAAATCACTATGTAAGAGGGAGGAATTTCACAAAACTGCCAAGTCAAATAAACCATTGAGAAAGCTTCTAGACATTTACACCCTACCTGACCCTGGTGCAGGAGCCAAGAATTCAAAACCAGAAGAAACACCGTACAGAAATTCCCTATGAGTCCGAAAAAAAGATAAACAAGCAAAAACCATGGAATGGTGGACAGATCGGTTGGCGAATTTCATGCGATTCGAAGTTAACCAAACGCAGAAACTTAATAAAGTCTCGTGCACGATGGTAGCAGATGGGTTTCCCTATTTAACCTCTTACAGCCTGCCTATTGATTTTCTCCGGTCCTATTGTTTTGGCACGTCGCGCATTTAACGAAACGGGAGACGAGAGGAGCGCACGGTTATCGAAAGAGAGAAGGAGATAGGGCACATCTCGCAAACAATCACGAAATTCGTGATCGATTGTTGCTGCACGAAATGTTGATGCAAAGAAGCACGAACGCAGCAACGAGCTGTCAATTGTCGCCGATGTTGTGAATCATCTCTATTTCGGGAGACACCCGTTGGGTGGTCCTAACCCTCGCGTTTTTGAGGTTAGCTCTCTCGTAATCCTCACGGACTAACGCACGTACGTTCATATATAGCCGGTGGACGAGTGACCGGTAATCTTTAGTAAAATGATCGAATAAATCGAGCTTTATCGGCGAGAAAATGCACAGGAACGATCGGAAAAGTCTAAACGAGGGCAGCACGCCCATCTGTCGGAAATCACGGAAAAATCAATAGAACCGCCGGCAGCATCGGCAACCGGCGCTAACCATCGTATTATCAGATCGTGCTTTCGTTCTACTCACCTTGAAAAATATCCATAGATAGAAAAGGTGTCCTGTTTCGTTGCACAAAATCAATTTGTCACTTCGGCCACAACCACACGTCCGACAACACTCTTGCGACTCCGCCGTTTCAGTTTCGAGCGTTCCTCTCGTTCAAGGTCAGTGACGGCGCGCGTCGCGAAAAAATTGAGGCGCCTTCAGTACCCTCGTTCCTAACAATCAAAACAAATTGTTTTTTTCTTTCTTAATACTCTGCAAATTATTTTTAACGTTTAACCTCTTATTTATACCGTGAAAGTATGAATATAAACCTTAATCCATACTTTTATAATTTTAACTAAACAAACCTACATAAAAAAACTTTATAAACTTGTTAAAATTTATGAATTTGTTTAATTATAAGTGAAGTAATTTTGTTTTAGAGTAACTGTTTAACAGTGGAACTTAAAGAAATGGCTTGTTTTGAATTATAAAAATGATTTTATCGAACTGTATTGACTATTGCGGAGATAAGAAATGATAGAGAGCATCAATTCATCTTTTATCGTATATTTATTCATGGCTTTAATTAATTTCCAATTGTAAGGTACACATTCTACATCTACTGATCAAATATTACTGTATGTAAACAGTAAAATGTATGTATATAATAAAAATGTTAGTATACAAATATTGTGTGTCATATAAAATGAATGCAATATATGATTTATGCAATGTATTAGTATATGTACATATACAATATTATCCTGTATAATTGCAATGTGATTGTTCATTATATAATGTGTAACAACAATGTACGTATTGTTTAATAATAATTATACTACTGTCTAATAATAATATATTATTACAGTGTATAATTTAAAATAATAATATATATTTATATACTGTACAATGTGTAACATTAAAGCATAATAAAAACGTATAATTATAAACTATCTGTACACCTATAATCTCCAACAATAAAACACATAATAATCACATCACATATGAGTCTTGATATAATTTACATATGAGTCTTGATTTCAAACTTCTGCACGAGTATAACAATCGATAACAGCAAGCCTCGGGCCCGTACGTTGCACATACATCCCTGCCTTCATGCAAATAACTAATCCAAATAAACAAACTTTCCTCTAAAAATAAGAAGATCCGAGCAGCCGCGACAAAAAACATAAAGGAGTACCTTTATGTGCCCCACTTCCCAAATTGTTCGAAATACAATACAAATCATCCACCCTCAAAAATCTCCAAATTCCACAAAATTGCAAGAAAACAATATTAAAAACAAAATAAAAATTTTCACAAGATTAAAATTGTTCAACTTCTTCGAAAAACATCGAAATGCTTGGAGCGACGTGCATGGAATCGAGACCGCACCAAATTTGGTCATGCCAGTCTCCATTCAGAACAGTGTGTTTCGTAGTACACAATGATGTAAGTCGTTTTACGCTACGCTTACTGATATATTCCTTGAAATCACGTATTAAAAATTGAGACGAGAGTAAACGGGACACCATGTATGTCTCTTTACCTTTTCTGGGTGCTCCTTGAGTTGCAGATTTAGGCGTTTGAGTAATACTTATGGCCGCGAAATGTAGGAAGATTGATGCATCGATGACATCACGGTTTTTATTGTTGCGTTATTCATGATTTGCATCGTTATAACATCTTCGGTTTTGAGCGATGACTTATGTTATGTTATACTTTATGTTCTGTGGTATATTTCATTGGGATTGTTTAATTTTTGGGAATTGATGGAGAGTTATGTTGTGGGGATGAGGGCTTAGAAAATTAGTGTTAGTATAGACAATTAGTGTTAGGATTGATATATTTCCAAATCGGCAAATTTCTAAATGCCCAAATTCTCAAATTTATAAATTTCTAAACCCCCAAATTCTCAAGTTCCTAAACTTCTAAATCCCCAACTTCTCAAATACCTAAATTTCTAAACCCCCGAATTCTCAAGTTTGTAAACTTCTAAATTCCCCAACTTCTCAAATTTCTAAATTTCTAAACCCCCAAATTCTCAAGTTCCTAAACTTCTAAATTCCCCAATTTCTCAAATTCCTAAATTTCTAAATCCCCAAATTCTCAAGTTCCTAAACTTCTAAATCCCCAACTTCTCAAATTCCTAAATTTCTAAATCTCCAAATTCTCAAATTTCTAAATTTTTAAATCTCTGAATACCTAAATCCCTATACTCCTAAATCCCTGAATCCCTAAATCCCTGAATCCCTAAATCCCTAAATCCCTAAATCCCTAAATCCCTAAATCCCATAATCCAAAAATCCAAAAATCCCAAAATCACCAAAATCCCAAAAATTTCAAAAATCCTAAAAATCCCAAGAATCCCAAAAATCCCAAAATCTCCAAATTTCCCCCCAAATTCCCAAACTCAACCCAAACACCTTACATCACACCCAAAAATTCAACCAAATCTTTACATAATCAAAGCATAACCCACAATCAGCGTTTCAAAACAGTGCACAAAGAACCAAGAATACCCTGAATTAATTCACGGCCGCTAATCCCAATTGTCTCCACTCGATTCAATTCATCCGTTGTAGTTATCATCGCACGTATCAACCACACTCGACGAAGATAAATCTTTATGCGTCATTCTAAATCCGCCTTAAAGCATCTGAGAGTATCGTTCATTCCGCCGACTCAAACTATCCGTCTTCATTACATATTTGTACATACGACTCCGTTCAGAATTTACACTTTCTCTCCTGGTATAATTCCCCAAAATACTGTTCCTGTTCCATGGGGTCACGCGTGCATATACAATTATGTAACGCCGCGGTCAAATTCAGTAGCGAGTTGCACGCGAATGTGTAACGCGTCGTTCTTCCGGCATTTATCATCGTTCGCAGGAAGCGGTCGTAAATTTCCTCGTAATGAGGATGTAAATAGAGAACGAGACGATTAGAAGCTGTATTTCTTTTAGTAGAGACTCTGTGATTCATTGCGTAGAGTGTAGAGTTACTCAAACTTATTTAATAGTTATCAGTTTTTGTAGTGTGGAGGATATAGGTTTTGGGGATATACATATGGTGCAGAGGTATGTAATTTAGGTAATTGGGATTTGAAGGTATGGGAATTTGGAGGTGTAGGTACACGTGAAGGGATTTGCTATATAGGTAGTTTAGGGAAATAGAAATTTGTGAAATTGGAGATTTGAATGTGTAGGGAATTGGGGATGTAGGTATTGGGATATGTGGAGATTGGGAGAAGTGTGGATTTGGGGGTATAGGGATTTAGGGAAATATGGATTTGGGGGTATAGGGATTTGGAAGTATAGGAATTTGGGTGCATAGGAATTTAGAGAAATATGGATTTGGGGGTATAGGAATTTGGAAGTATAGGAATTTGGACGCATAGGAATTTGGAGAAATATGGATTTGGGGGTATAGGAATTTGGGCGCATAGGACTTTGGAGAAATATGGATTTGGGGGTATAGGGATTTGGAAGTGTAGGAATTTGGGCGCATAGGAATTTGGAGAAATATGGATTTGGGGGTATAGGAATTTGGGCGCATAGGAATTTGGAGAAATATGGATTTGGGGGTATAGGAATTTAGGCGCATAGGAATTTGGAGAAATATGGATTTGGGGGTATAGGGATTTGGAAGTGTAGGAATTTGGGCGCATAGGACTTTGGAGAAATATGGATTTGGGGGTATAGGAATTTGGAGAAATATGGATTTGGGGATATAGGAATTTGGAAGTTTAGTGATTGGGGGGTATATGGATTTGGAAGTATAGGAATCTGGGCGCATAGGAATTCGGAGAAATATGGATTTAGAGTAGTATAGGAATTTGTTGGTGTAGGGATTGCGGGGTGTATGGATTTGGTGGTATAAGAATTTGGAAGTATAGAGATTGGGAGGTATATAGTTTTGAATTTGGGAGTACATGCTATACGTCACTGATTGATCCTTCGAATAGTAAGATTCTCACATTTCCAACTACTCCAATTATACCTAAGACACCTACAAAGACTCCACATCTATCAACTAACACAACATACTATCACCTACCACATTTCCAAATTTCTAAATTTAAACTTACACTCCCAACCTCCCAATTTCCCAAAGTTCCACATCTCTCTCTCTTCCTAAACCCAAAATATTTAACTTCCTAATAGAATCTTCCTAAAACCTCCTACACATCTTCTCAGCTCACACAACACACAGTGGTCCATGCTGTATGTCCATGCTCCAAGCTGTCCATTTATCGTGTTCATTTATCTGGCACCAAGAGCTGTCCATTTATCGTAAGCAGTAAACAGTGAAAGGATTAATAGGAAATCACCTACGGAAACGCGTAAGTTTACGACGTTCCTGGCATTCTTGGCGCGTCGGAGGCAGAGAAAAAAAGGCGTCGTTGATCGTTCATAACAGACGTAGGCGCTTTTTCCACGTTGTCACCGAACAGAATGCACCTGTGCATAAACCACAAAGCGTGGGCGATGCTCGATATACCGAATGAACGCCACCGATACGTGGGCACGACCTGCATTTCAACGTGACGAGGACAAGCGTTTGCTTACGTGACTTTTCTCGATCGTATGGAGAAAGTTCAATAGCACTGGTTGTTTGATACGCAATTTCTGTGTGTTTTAGCATTTTTTAGTTTTTTATTTCTAGTTTTTTACACTTTGACTACTGTTTGCGATCTTGTTTTTGAAAAATATTGGAAACAGAATTTGAATTTTGATTGTGAAGAGGTAGATGATTAGACATTGATGTTACAGGAAGATTAAATACATTAAATGGAATACTAAATACTAGTAAATACTAGTAAATACATAGACTAGTAAATACATTAGATGGATAAATATGTGGTACTGAAACAACCTGTATAAAAGAAGTACCATGTTACTTCTGTCTATAATTTCAAATTTTTTGGAAGAAAATATTTCTGATCATATTGATAGACTCTGACAACTCTATATGAACCCTCTGTGTACTCTTTAGAAATATAGTTGCACTGGAAGTATTTTAATCCTCAATTGCAAAGAGTTAATTAAGCATTGATGTTTCAGAAGGAATAATAAAAATATTAAGAGATAAACAGTTTCAGATAAAAATTTGTATACAGACAT